TTAAGATTACATAAGTCTTTAAGAAAGCATTCAGCAAACATAATAGATAACATCTCCGGCAAACAAGCCGTTCACGACCACAAGCAACAATCATAGTTTTGATCTGGACGATGACAAAAGTCATAAAGCATGGAGGGTACTTCGCTGGAAAGGAGCAACCACTCATTTGCATCAATAACCTTCAACCACTGTATGGAAAAGGAACCGGGTCAAGCTTAAAAATTTAGCCAATGCAAACTTACAGCATGTGACATCAAGAAGTAACACTGAGTAGTAATGCTGGAGAAAATCACTTCTATAAATCCTGTATAGCTACACAGGTTCAGTAAAAACAAATACTGTAACAATAGGAAGAGGAACAAGCTATAAAGAAGACCTCACTCTCTATACAAGCATGTTGGCAGATCAAATAAATTTCTTGAGCAATAATACATTCACACTGACTAAACTATAGAGTACAGAACTATTTGGTTAACGAAAAGAACAATTTAAGATCAGAGAAAGTATACCTATAAGTAACAGCTGCCGCAATCACCACATCACAGCTCACTCCTGAAATAAAAATGCATGTAACATATCAAGGTTACAGTAAAAAAAGGAATATGAACATGCAGATATCAATATCCCACCATGATTAACTATGATGGTTGTTTTGAAACTTATGCAAGATATGCTCGACTAAATCACTTTTAAGTTGGGCATGCTGTGGACGAGCACGAATAGTAGCTTTTCTACGCAACACATCTGCGAAACATAGATTACCACCAACATTCACTTCGGGAGGTAGAGCAAATGAAGCCCCCGGAATCTCATTCAAGTCAATATGAATTTTTTCCTGCTCTCTCTCATCTTCGATTATCATATTGCGGAGAATCACACAAGCCCTCATGATCCTTCCAACACTCTTTCTCTTCCATAGACGTGCAGGCCGACAGACAATGGTAAAACGGGACTGTAATACCCCAAAAGCGCGCTCGACATCTTTCCTTGCCCCTTCTTGCTTCTGGGCAAACAACTTGTGCTTCTCTATTTGGGGAAGTGGTATGGTCTTCATGAAGGCAGCCCATTCTGGGTATATACCATCAGCAAGGTAGTAACCTGTGGTATACTCATTCCCATTGACAGAAAATTGGACTTGAGGGGCTTCTCCTTTCAGTGCATCAAAAAACAGTGGGGATTGATTGAGCACATTCAGATCATTATTTGACCCAGCAACTCCAAAAAAAGCATGCCAAATACGAAGGTCCTGGGAAGCAACGGCTTCTAGGATCATCGTTGGTACTCCATAATCGCCGCGGGTGAATTGCCCCCTCCATGCAAGAGGACACTTCTCCCATCGCCAATGCATGCAATCAATACTTCCTAGCATTCCAGGGAAACCTCGAGACTCGTTAACCTGAAGAAGACGCTCAACATCCTCCCGTGTGGGGCGTCGCAAGTACTCCCCACCAAAAACCTGAATTACCCCCTTTGCAAACTTGTCCAAACACTCTAATGCAGTGCACTTCCCAATCTTCAAGTACTCATCAAGTGCGTCTGCAAGGGTGCCATAGGCTAGCATGCGCATGGCTGCTGTACACTTTTGCAATGGCGAGAGCCCTATTCTACCAGAACAATCTGCCCTATAAGTGAAATAGGGGGACCACTCACCTAGGGCATTCACAATGCAGAGGAAGAGACCTCTATTCATACGGAATCTTGTACGAAACATACTCTCGAGGTAGAGTGGATCTGCAGCAAAGTAATCCTCCACCAGACGCTCGTGAGCACCTTCATGATCCCTCCGAATGACCTTCCTTGGACCGTATCGTCGCTGCAATGATCCATATCCGAGCCTAGGCTTGATTTTTATCATGAGCCTCTCAACAAAGGAGTCTAGGATGTTTTGCTCAGCAACATAGGCTTCCATGATTTTGGATGGGGCTAGCTCATCAGAATCATCTGTGTATGATGATGAATCGGACATGGTGGGTGAGGAAGATGGGTCGGTAGGCTTGGTAGGAAGATGAGAAGTAGCGGAAGGAAGATGGGTTTGGGTGGAAGAGTTTGAAGTGGAGATGGAGCATTATATGGATGTGTCTTGTTTACCTGGGCGTATAATTACTATGGACTGCATAGAAGTTAAGTGTAATTTGACTATTGACTACATGAGTTTTTCCACTCCATGTTTATCTGGAATGCATAGAAGTTAAGTATAATTTGACTATTGACTAGATGAGTTTTTCCACTATTGCATGGTTATCTGGACTGCATTGACTACTATGTAACTAGAGTACTGGACCATTGACTACAATTTAAGTACATGACCACTTTTAATTAAGACAACGGACAGTAGGAAATACCTTAGACCATTTTGCCAAATAGCTTCTCCCTTAAACACTTCAATGCCAACACATGCTAAGATCTCACATCTTCAGGCATCCCGGTTGTGTCTTGCATCACCAATGAGCGATATGTTTCTAGCATGACCGACTCTTTGTGATCTTTTGCCGCAAGGTGAGCAAGCTTCCGTGCTTCAAGATTCTCAGCAGAAACACGCCTTTGGGTCTCTAACATCTCTTTGCGGCCTTCATTTGCTGCATTCTGGGCATCTACAAACTTTTGAAGCTCATCTTCAAGATCTATTATACAAACTTCATCCTTTCCTTTTCGTTTCTGCTTCTCCTTAGCTTGCTTGCCACCCGATGGACGTTCATCTTCATCATCATCATCATCTATAGTGGAATGCTTCCCTACTTCATCATCAACACTAAACTTCCTCTTGTCCGGCTCCAGATCTTCTAGGCGTTCCAAATATGCGTCCCATTTTGGTTCCTTTTTAAGAATCTCCCAGCAATGCTCAAACATAAACGAACCATCTTTTTTGTGACCTTCCTCATAAGTTTGCATTGCCCTCTTCTTTAAATCTGCATCAGATTTACCACTAGCATACAAAGCACTAGCCTCCTTATAACTCGCACAAAATCATGCAACCCTTTTCTTAATTCTCCCAAAGCGATCTTTCACTTGCTTGACTAGTCGTTCCCTGTTTTTTGGGGTGGTACTATTGTAGACAGCAGTAACATCTTTCCAATATTGTTCATTCTTCCTGTAGTTTGATTGGATTGGGTCATTGGAATTATTCAACCAAGCACTGACCTACAATATTATCAGAAGGGGTTAATTGAATTTGCTAGTAATGAAACACATGGAGCCAGCATGAATGCAAAAAGAGACATACCAATCGAAGATCTTCTTGTTTTGTCCATAGCAAGCGCTTTTCGGTCCTTCCACAATCACCACCATTTGTGTCATCACCAGCATTGACTGGTTGCGGTGAACTCCCATTGTGCATAGGTTGTGTGGGGCCTGCCGTGTTCTGAAAGTAACTAAGGTAACCACTAGGTGGGTGAGAATCCACTCCCCTGCTCAACGACATAAAGAAACGAAGAGCGATCAGCACCGAACTACATGCAAGTATATACTCAAATTTGTAAAATCTGAATAAAATACATTTGAGATGCATACTAGTTGATCACAGCAACTATTTAAAGGAAAAATAATCTGAATTGATCACAACAACTATTTAAAAGAAAAATCTGAATTGATCAGAGCAAGTATTTAAAGGAAAAATCTGAATTGATCACAGCAACTATTTAAAGGAAAAATAGTTTATGCAGTCATATATCATACACACTATCATGTGGAAACTGAAAAGTTACACTACACTGCAATCCAAGATTCAGCAAACAAGAAGTCACGTGCTCCTGTACATCAAAGAAAGATCATCTAGCAGAAGAAACTTTTCTTTTTCTATCATTACTAAGCTACTAAAAATGAACTCTGAAAATAGACAGTAGAGTAGTAGATAGATTTCTGATGTTGTATCATCTAACTAGCATATCATACAAGTGTGTCAGCAGCTCTAAGAAATGACACCACGATTCAGAGTTGAGATAAGCAATGGAGAAAATTCATACCATACTTGTGGATCAGAGTAGTCCATATTGCCAGCCATGTACCAAGGTGATGTAGAGTCACCGATGCAGGCAGGCGGTGCCCAATAAGGACCTTGAGCCGTAGGACCCGATTCACTTGGTTGCTGCAGACTAGCCCCAGAGACTCTTGTGGTCTTGGGGGGATCCAAGTGCTTGTTGTCTGCTTTGAAGGGAAGGTCGATGGGATCCCCGGCGGCGGGGCGGACTTAGGCGCCGGCGAGACCAGCAAATGCGCCGGCGGCGGGACCAGGAGATGCGCTGGCGGCGGGGTGAGCAGAGGCGCTGGTGGAGGGGCTTCACGAGGTGCCGGCGCGCGCGTCTGTTTGGACTGCTAACCCATCTCCTTGATGTGCGTCGGCGACAATTTTAGGGTTCGGGAGAGGTGGCGATTTGGGGAAATTTGGAAGGCTTGATTTGGCGCGAGGAAGCTATTTGGGGCGACGGCACGAGCTGATTTTTGCGCGCGAAGGAGGAAGGAGAAGCGCGAGAGGCGGGAGAGGCGCAGGGGATCGAGAGCGCCGGCTCTAGCGCTCGCCACGGGCTGCAAGCGGGCGCAAAGCTCTCGTATCTTGTGCCGCAGCCCGGCGCTTGACGAAGCGCCCGTTCGCTTCTCTCTCCCTCTTTCTCTTCCCTCCAGATGTGATTTGGCTGACGTGGAAGGGCTTATAGCCAGCTGAGTGAGCCTTATTACTTGCTCTTACTCGGCAGTACCAAGCTGACTGCACGTCCGCACTTCCCAACCGCCGCGACATCCCGTGACGCCCCAGGCCACCGGCCGCAACCGCAACCATCCCGGCCGTCACCCCCGCGCGCGCACGCCAACGGCGCGCGTTCTCAGCTCTGAAGCCGCCGGTCTCTCCCAGAGAAGGAAGGAAGGAACGCCGCCAACAACCGGCTGGATCGCGACACCTTCGATGTATCCACCAAATGCACCTAGGCCAGCCAGGGCCAGGAGCAGATGCGTCTAGGGAGCGTCACGTGTGCCCCTCAACCCGGCCGGTTCACGTGAATCTAGCCTCACTCTCACACACATTCTTCGCCTTCCGCTCTCTCTGTCCTGCCCGACTCGATCGGGCGTCGCCAAGCACGCACGCACGCACGGTACAACTGAACAACGAACCAAGTCACGGCATCACCTCACATTCGTGCGTGGTGACGACAAAAACCACACGAGACAAGACAAGAGAACAAAACAATCGGGTCGTGCTATACATGATGCATGCCGATGCATGCCGCCGTCGCCGGCGTCGCGTCACTCTATGTGGACCCACACGCCCTCGCTGGGGATGTGCCCGTTCACCACGAACACCATGTAGTACCCCGGCGGCGCCAGCACGGCCTTCGCCGGCATCGCCACCGATGCCTCGTACGCGCCCGCGCCCGCGCCCGCGGTGCTGTGCAGCGCCGTCGTCCCCGCCACGTCCAGGAGCAGCAGCCTCTGGTTCATCGCGAACGAGTGCGTCGTGAACGACGGCGCCACCATCGTCACCGACACCAGGCCGAGAGCGCCGCCGCCGCCCTCGCCCCCGCCGCGCGGTCTCCTTCTCGGAGCCACCGCTGGCACCTCGAACTGGAGGGTCATTGACTGTCCGTACTTCACGCTCACCGCCGGGCCGGCGGGCGAGGGGTCGGTGATCTTTGGGCGGAGGGCGTCGTTGGAGCTGTCCAGGTACTCCGGGGAGAAGGCCTCCAGGCTGAGCTCTGTCGGGTACCGCACGTTGCTGAAGTTGTAGTAGATGTGCGGGTTGCTCCCGCCGACCAGCACCCGGCCGTCGCGGAGGAGGATCGCCGCCGAGTGGTACAGCCGCGCGATGTCGGTCGCGCTCTGCTCCTCGAACCGGTCCCCGGGCGCGTGGTCTGGCCGGTACATGACGGGCGCGTACGCCGGGGTGCTGGCGGCCTCCCACCCGGCGGTGCCGTCCATGGCGCCGTTGATGATCGCCACCTCGGCGCCGTTGGGCAGCAGGATCATGTCCCCCATCACCCGCGGCGACGGCATTCTCTCGATCACCCACGCCGGCGAAGCGTCCGTGATCTTGATCCGCCCGCACGTCACCAGCGCCGGGAAGAAGGTCTTCTCCTTGGTCGAGTTGTAGGAGCCCGCGGGCGCGCCGCCGCAGACCAGCACCTCGGCCTCGGTGGGCGAAGGCTTCAGGGGCAGCAGCACCGACGAGCCCGAGCTGGGGTAGTTCCTGGGGTCGCCGCCGGCCAGCTCGGGGTACGTCCGGACGATCTTGTTCTTCCTGTAGTCGAGAAGGACGGCGCGGTTCTTGGCGAAGATGAAAAGGTTGCCGTCGATGTTGAGGTGGACGAAAGGATACAGATTGTTCTCCTCGGGGTCCCTGGTTTGAACCAGGAACGGCAATGCGATGGCCGAGGCGTCGGAAGCATCGGCCTTGGGGAAGAACTCGTAGTTGAACTGCCTGCGGCCGCCGACGATGAAGGCGCGGCCGTCGGGGAGGACCTGGTTGGTGGCGTACCACCGGTTGGCGGCGAGCGCGTCCTGCGTCTCGTTCCAGTCGCAGCTGCCGCCGTCGTCGTCGTCTCCGCCGTCGCACGCGCGCATGGCGCGCACGTTGCGGTAGCCGTCGTTCCAGCCGCCGGTCTGGACGAGGGTGCCGTCGGGCGCGACGGTGCCCGAGGAGCACCAGGTGTCGGTGAAGACGGAGAGCGGGCGGAAGGTGTTGGACGCGACGTCGTACTCGGCGGAGTGCGCGGTGCAGTCGACGGGGAGCACGCGCTCCCTGGGGTTGCGGCGGCAGCGGCCGTCGGGGAGGGAGAGGTTGGACGGGCCGAAGTCGGTGCGGTCGAAGATGATGACGCGGTCGTTGTGCAGGAGCTGCATGTGCATCGCCGACACGCCGATGCTGCGCTGCAGCACGTCCCACCGCCCGCCGCCGGCGCCGCCGCCGCTCGCCGGTGCAATGCCGGCGCATGCGAGGGCCAGGACAAGAGCGAGGCCGCGGGTCAGCAATGCGGGAGGAGGCTTCATGGTCGCTCGTGACGATCAGGCCTTGTCCGTATGGTGGTTGACTGTATCCGAATGTTTGGCTCGTGGGCAGCGAAGGCTGCTGTATGGATCTGAGCTCGTGACGGTGGCCGCCCTTATATGCAATGCACGGACCAACGATACGGTACAGTAGTATTGACGAGCTTCGTTGGTGATGGCGTCTTAAGGCTCCGGATTTCGTTCAGCGAGGAGTCGCGCGCGGCCATTATTTCTGCCAGCAGGATGGTTTGATTCTGGCGTTGATTTTGGGGCTCGGGCCTGTATTAACTTGCTGTTTATGATGTTTTGATTTGGCGGCCCGTTGGGCATAATAAACGGTGCAGTCAATCAGTCATCACCATCTTTTCATGATTTGACCAGCTACCACCTGCTAATTGTGTTGCTCAGTCTCTCCCCCCATGACCCGTACCAAAATCCTCTGGATAGAAGAACCATAGGTTCATGCGAACTCTTCGACCACGACGAGTAATTTAGAACGGAGAAAGTACAATTTACCTACGTTTTCAGTCAGCTGAAATTTCACTTTTGGGTCAATCGATTTTGTGGCCATTGGATTTTTCTTTGAGATTCGTCCTGCATTTTTTTCCTTTATCTATGTTGTTTGTTCTGTGAGCATTCTTTTTTTGACTGGCCTCTTATTTGGGTCAGTAGATTTCCTTCTGGCCCGAAGCCCTATGTGTTTGGTTGGAGGTGCCATATGAATGGGTTTGAACCATCCAGTTTTTTGGGATGGAACCATTCGATTTATGTGTTTGTTTGTATATAAGAGATGAATTAATTATTTGGGATGGGATCATCAGTCATGCTCACATGATCATGCATGCAATGGGTGGCCATATGATTCGGCCGATTTCTTAGGGTGGAATGGTTCAGCATCTTCAGAGCATATTATCTTCTTTTTAGTGGAACCATTCAAGTGCTTTATAACCAAACATGTCTATTTTCTGAACAATCCCAACCCATCCATGGCCACCCTTGCAACCAAACGCATCGGCAGCGATCCAGCCCTCCTCTCTCTCCCTTTGATTTTTAATATTTTTTGTTTTTATATGCTTTTGCTTTTGTTTTTTATGTTTCTCTTAGTTAGTTGGTTTTATTTTTATTTTGTGGATATTTATGTGATGTTGGGTGAGTGTAATTTACACACATAAATAATTTGCAATATGTGTGAAAATTACACTACTATATGATTATTGTTTGTGTACTAAAAATAATTTAAGAGCGAAGTTGTGTGCAAGTTTTGCGAAAAACATTGTTATTTTTTAATGGGTAATAATAATGCTACCAATTCATTCTCCTTATTGTAATTTATTTATTTATTTTTGTTCCTTCTTAAAGGGTAATACTAATGACACTAATTTATTCTATCTTAGAAAACGTTATTATTTTGATTTTAGTTTCTATTTTGTTTTATTTATATGAAAGGGTAATACCAATCTTAATAATTCATTCATCCTTAGAAAACCTCAGTATTTTGATTGTGTTCTAGTTTTTACTTCATTTTATTTTTTCTTAAAGAGTAATACGTAAGCCACTAATTCATTTTTCTTGAAAACTTTGGTATTTTATTTTTTAGTATTACTTTATTTCCATCATTCTTTAATGATAATACCAATACCGTAAATTCATTTCTTCCCAGAAAACTTTCTTTTTATGAAAATTACACTATTACTCCCTCCGTAAACTAATATAAGAGCGTTTAGAATACTAAAGTAGTGATCTAAACGCTCTTATATTAGTTACAGAGGGAGTATATTCTTATTCCCGCATGTTATAAAAAGCGCAACTTCTGTGCATATTGTTTGCAAAATATTGCATTATTTTATTATTACTTTCAGTTCTTTCTTCTTAACCGGAAACCAATGACACTAATTCATTGTTTCTTAGAAAACTTCACTATTTTAATTTTTCTTACATTTTTATTTCATTTTTTATTCTTTAAGGGTAATACCAATACCTCTAATTCATTCCTACTCATGATTCTTTTTTTGAAATTTCATTATTTGTGCTTATTCTTGCATATTATAAAAAACGCAATTTCTATTCAAACCGCGTGCAATTTTTTTCGTTTTTTTCAATTTTCTTTCTTCTTAAACGGTAATACCAATACCACTTATTCATTATTTTGATCCGAAAAGGTACAGACACCATGGATCAAATACCAATGCCACCAATTCATTCTTTCTTTGAAAGTTTTCTTTTTGCGGAAAATCATTGTTATGTGTTTATTCTTGCATATTATAACAAAGCGCAATTTATGTGCAGATTGTGTGCAAATTTTGTCATTATTTTGTTTTAGTTTTTTATATCATTTTCTTTCCTATTTAAGGGTATTTTTGCTTCATTTTCTATTTCTGTTTTCTGTTTCTATGGGTTTTCTTTTTCCTTTTTTCTTTCCTTTATTGGTTATTGTTGTTTTTTGTGGGTTTTTGGCTGGGTGTAATTATATACGAACAAATACCATATAATATGTGCCAAAATTTCATGACTATATGATTATTTTTGCATATTATGATAAAATGCAATTTAAGTGCATAGTTGTGCGCAAGCTTTTCTTAGTTGTCTTTCTTCTTAAAGGAAATACATTATTTCAGTTACACTCCATGGAAATTATAGTAGAATGCAAAAAATGCACTATTATATGCTTGTTCTTTGCATATTTTAAAACGGAAGTGCTCTGCACACAATCCCTTCACGCACGATTTGTGCACGGCATGATTTGAAGCCACACAAATTAGAAAAACGGGGCAATTCGATGGTGTAGGTCACCTGTCGTCTGTGGATCGTGCATGAATCCATCGTGTGCATAGCAGTGTTCATTTTAAAAAGTGTAATATCAGTGCAACTCGGTATAATTGACAACTCATTATAATTAAAACCATGTTTCTTCTTTTTATTATCAGGTTAACAACTTAGCATAATTAAAACCATGCTACCCATGCAACCACCTTCTTGATTAAGGTGCATCACTATGATAAATTTGCAGACTTGGAACTGTGTATATTACCATCTTGAAAGGATCGATATGGTTGACTAGAGCGGGGGGTGAATAGGCAACTAACAATTTTTAACTTTTCTTTACCAAATTAAACTTTGCATCAAAGTAGGTTGTCTAGATATGCAACTAGGTGAGCAACCTATATGATGCAACAACAACAAACAAACAAGCAAGCAAGAGAAGAAACACTAATGAGCTTGCACAAGTAAAGGTAAGAGATAACCAAGAGTGGATCCGGTGAAGACGAGGATGCATTACCGAAGTTCCTTCCTTTTGAAGGGACGTATGTCTCCGTTAGAGCGGTGTGGAGGCACAATGCTTCCCAAGAAGCCACTAGGGCCACCGTATTCTCCTCACGCCCTCACACAATGCGAGGTGCCGTGATTCCACTATTGGTGCCCTTGAAGGCGGCAACCGGACCTTTACAAACAAGGTTGGGGCAATCTCCACAACTTAATCAGAGGCTCCCAACAATACCACGAAGCTTCACCACAATGGACTATGGCTCCGTGGTGACCTCAACCGTCTAGGGTGCTCAAACACCCAAGAGTAACAAGATCTGCTAGGGATAGGTGGGGGAATCAAAAATCTCTTGGTGGAAGTGTAGATCGGGGCCTTCTCAACCACTCCCGAGCAAATCAACAAGTTTGATTGGTTAGAGAGATAGATCGGGCGAAAATGGAGCTTGGAGCATTAATGGAGCTTGAGGGGGAAGAGGTAGTTCAACGGGGAAGAAGGGGACCCCCTTTTATAGTGGGGGCAACAATCCAACCGTTGCCCCACTAAACAACCCCGCAGAGGGCGGTACTGCCGCGGGAGACATCGGTACTACCGCTGGGTTAAGCAGTACTACCGCTCCCTTCGGTGGTACTGCCGCGCAGAAAGAAGGGTAAGGGGAAAGAGGGAACCGTGCGGTACTACCGTGGTGGAAGGGCGGTACTGCCGCTAATGGGCGGTACTGCCGCACTACTGCCGCAGCGAGGTACCGCACAATCCGACACAGAAAAAGACCCCTCGAATCGACGCGGTAGGGACCTGGCAAGCCAGCGGTAGTACTGCTGCGGAGTCACCGGCGGTACTACCGCTGCGGAGTGGTACTGCCGCTTGTGACCCCTAAGCGGTACTACCACTGGGTACCGCGGTACTACCGTTGGGTACCAGACAAAGCCCACAAGAAGAGAGAAGATCTCTCCATTGAAGCGGAAGGGCTCGGAGGGTGAGAAGCGGATGTGTACGTGTTGATTCCACCCAAGCAATACCAAAGTGGACCCCCTCTTGATAGTACGGTGCCCTCTACGCAACTAGTCCACCGAAAAAGAAACGAAAGATCTACACCGTCTTGAATGACACTCCGAGGGGAAGAAATCGTCTCGTGCCAAGGATGAATCTCTGAAATGCTCAAAGCACACTATTAGTCCGCAAACACGTTGTCATCAATCACCAGAACCACATCGAGAGATATATGCATCAACAATCTCCCCCTTTTTGGTGGATTGATGACAACTAGGGATTTGCACAAGGAAAGGACATAAAAGTAAGGATACTTAGAACTAAAAAATATAGACGGGCTCCCCCTGAATGTGTGCACCTAGTTAGTGAAGCCTTTGGAATGCAAGACACACACATTCGGATCAACACTCCCCCTATATTTTATAGTCCAATAGGATAAGCATGCAACTCTTAAGATACTACAGTATTGAATAGACATAAGTAATAAGGTAGCGATAGAGTAGCATATGTCTCACACCATATGTCTAGAACTTAGGTCTCAAAGGCAAAAAACCAAACAAAGCAAAGCAGACGGCGAACACAAACACGGCACACAAAACACGGCAGCGACACAAATCCCTAAAACTCTCTCCCCCTTTGGCATCGAGACACCAAAAGGGCAAAGAGCGAAGCTACGGCTCCAGGTGATATCAAGCTGAGGATCACGAGCATCACATCCCTGCGGAATCATCTGCATCGCCCTCATCGGTCGGGA